GAGTCTTGCATGCCGTTCCCTGGCACTTTCACGCAGCGAGGAGCCCATATATATCGAGGACCTGAGTGTGAGTCTCAGTTTTCTCACAGGAATCTCTTGCACCATTAGTGCCTTGAATCAGAGAGGGAGCAGGCTGGATATAATCTGAGCTTTGCTCTTTTTCCAGGAGGTCTTGCATTCAGTTTTCAAGCTTCTTCCATTCTCCTTGATAGGGTTCTCGCTCCTCCTTGGACACAGCCTCTTGCCGCAGTGTGGATTCAGCCCGTCCTGTGAGCCAAGTGGACAGACACATCCAGCTGGTGGTTCATGGAGTGTCACAGGCAGGTGAGCCACAGACTCATACATGTAGCAACCAGTGTTGCCTCTAAGCTGAGTTAGTGTGAGCTAGCTCACAGTCTTTTAGCCTCCGGCTCACACATTTTTGTCTTAGCTCAGGAAGGAGGGCTCCAGAGCAAACTAATTTATGCAGTAGCCAAATCACTCGCTCACAACTTTAATGCCAGCAGCTCACAAAGTAGAAAGGAACAAGGGGATATGCAGAAGTCTTGCTGCTGCAAGCACATGATGTTGTCTCCTGTGGTCTTAAAAAGAACAACTGCCACTGGATTTGGGATTCAACACTAGGGTGGGGGAGCCTTTTATTCCATTACCTTTATTTTCCCAATGTCAGCCCACCTGTAATCTCTTCAATGTAGTAGATGAAAGCAGCGAAGATGGGTAAACGGTAAACTAAACTTTAAGAACGTCTGCCCCACTGGATGGTCTGTTGAATAGTGGAGCAAGTTGTTTAGGCAGAGAAACTGACAGACAAAAGGACTGTCTAACTGGCTGAAATAAAAGAAGGACATGTTACCTTCTGCACAATGCTGAGCCAGGGGAAGATTTCTTACGACAACCCTTCTTCTGTTCTCTGAGGACCGGAGATCACAGATGAGCTGGTAAAAGTTCTGCGCAGGCGTTTGGATGAGGCCACCCTGGATATCATCACAGTCATGCTCGTGCGGAATTGCAAGCTTACCCCAGCTGATGTGGAGGTAATGGCTGTGCCCCAGATTGGACTGCAAAAAGCCTTGTCCTGCTCCCCAAATAATTTTTCTTTCTTCCAGTCAAGGTCCTTGCTTCTTGACTGAAATTCGCAGGCCTCTGGGATGAATGTGTTCCTGTGTCTGGCCAATGACAGGTTCTTCTTCCTCCAGTTCATACAGCCACCAGGCAGCCCACCCACTGCAGTGCTGCAGTTTACTCTTCCCCCGTCCTGCCTGCCCTGGCTCCCAGCTGTGGCTTGCTACTTGCGGCAGAACCTGCTGATCTTCTTGCACACACCCAAGTATACAGACAGCAATGTAGAGAACCACTTCAAGGTGAGTATGTGGGGTACTTGTGCAGAGTGCTGCATTCTAGAAGAAGCTGTGGTCATTTCAGTATTTGTTCTCCTGTTGAGAGAACAGAGGGTGTTATGTGCAAAGGTCAAAGAGTACAGCAAAGGTGCCAGCTATAGTATGGTCTACAGAATGAGGCAGAAACATGGTATGGCATGGTATGGGAGTTCTGAAATAGCACAAAAGGTGTACACTGGGATGTCTTTCTGTCCAGAACCAGTCCTGCAGTTAACACTACCTTAAAGTGTAACTTTAAGAGTTATTTATGTATAATACATGTTTTAATCTCTCTTCCTCTGTGGAGCTCAGAGTGGCATACATAAAGAAACATGGGTTCATGTCAACTTTGAGGCTCACTGAATGACCTTGAGCCAATCTCTCTCCTCCCCCTGCCCTCAGTCTTTTCTGCATTTTTTTCATTGGGTCTGGCCCCATACGTCTTTGGTTTACCCCCTGATTTCCACACAAAAATTTGTGGCTTTCTCACTTGTTTTTTTAACCCTGGTTTTTTTCTGTTTCTTTTGAGCCCACTTTTACCCTGATGTTTTTCTAGAAGCTGGTTTTGATTCGCCTTTTTCCTCATGTGTAAGGTTTGTGTTATTTTTCTTTGTCCCTCCCACTCACCTTCAGCCCATTTATTGATGATTGGACTGCCGTCATTATCAAACTACTCCCTCCCCCCACAAAGATAAGTGGTTTCATTTTTTTTACCTTTTAAAGGCACTAAAATATCAATGTATTGATATACTGCTGTAATGATAGGTCAAGCAAGTTTTCTGAATAGCCAGCTTTCTTTATTTTTTTTAAGTAAGTCTCTAACCTCTTGTGGAGATATAAGGAAAAAAGCTTATCTCCACAATGGAAGAAGCTAGAGACTTTTTTTCCCCAATGAAACCTGGGAATTCATAGAACCTGCTTGATCTGGCATCACACCAGAATATTGATATAAGCATGTGTCAAACCACTGATGATGCCACTGATGACAACAGCACCCTCCCTTCAAAATCCTCATTATTGAAGGCACATATGGAAGAAAATAAACTGACTCCACAACTGTGAAAATGTGGAGGGAGGGAGAACGTTCAGAAGAACCGTGCTCAAACTGATTCCAGTGCTAGTGGATTGACCACCAAGAAAATCAGGAGTGAGTTGAGTGTGCAGAAAAACACCCTCCCAGTCTAACTTATACCACTATATTGTCCTGAGAATACAATGAAGGAACAAAGAACTATGTATTCCATCCTGAGCTTCTTAGCAGAAAAGTGGGATAAAATGTTATAGATCTGTCATTCCCAGTCACTGAAAAGTGACTGGAGCAATTTTTATGTCCAAAGGTAAATGCTTGCTTACTGTTATGAACCTTTATTGCAATGCAAAACCTGAGGTCTAGCAGTGTTCTGTATTAAGAAATGATCAAATGTAATCATTCTGCTCTTTAAAAGAGCCTCTTTACGAAGTCCTATTTCTCCACTTGTTAAGAAGACATCTCTTAACCAAGTTCTGATAAGTTTTTGCCTTCCTTTTCAGCACTATTTCCACCAGAACAGCTGTGGCCCTGACCTGGATCTCTACCTGTACAATAAACCTGGAGGCCAAGGGACTGGTGGCAAAGGTAAAGAGCATAAGTTACTCCTGCAGCCTAAATCTTCTGATGGAATAACCTGTAGAGGAAGAGTCCTTTCGGGTCTGTGGTGTTCACATGGGCTAGGCTACCAGAAGCCGGAAATTACTACAGAAGAGTCATCTACCTGCTTTGCAGTCCATGCAAATCAACTATCTACTGGAAGGCCCTCATGCCTGTACACTCCTCCCCTTTGTCTGGTATGAGATCAACAACTGGATGGAGATGGGCTTTTAGATGGGAGTTCTTCTTCTGAAGAGCCTTGTGAATTGTGCAGGCAGCACCATTGTTGCTCAGTAATAATCACATACTTCACTGGAGCTCATTCGAGGCAGTGAAGAGGAAAATGAGATACAAGGGCCCTTTGTTGAGCAAGCAGGCAGAGTTCAAACATGCATTAACACTGGGTGGGGGCAGGGTTAGGGATATGGGCTGACAGAAGCTATCATGGGCTGGTACTGCTAGCTTGTGCCTGATTTTGTTTGACGGTTTTATATTATAGTGTGGGTGTGGGTGTGCTTTCCCCCCATCCACTTGTCTCTCTTTCCACCTGCACTGTGGTGTGGTTGTACTGGCAACGCAGCAGTTCAAAGTGTGTCTGAACATTCTTCTGTCATGTAGGTTCCATGCTGGATCTTGTGCAGCACCTGTTTCCACCTTCCCAGTTTCAAGGTAGCTTCCTGTAGATTCCAACGTTCCACTGAACCTTTCCAGTGCTGCTCCCATCCTTCTCCTGACCTTGTGCCTGCTGTGGTTTCTGCTTCAGCTCTGGTACCTATTGTATCTCCCACTTTTCCTCTTCTGTGTATATTATCCAGACCTCTTCCAGTAGATGTCTTTTCAGATCCCACCATCTTCCAGCCTCAAGAAGCTAGGATTCTTTGTGTAGATTCAAGAATTCACAGTTGCTATTAGAAATAATGATGGAAACTTTACCATTACTATATTTAGTATTATAATTAGAAGAATTTTTGTATTATAAGTCAATTTCTGCAGTACTCTCCTTAAAAGAGATGGGGGAGCAAACAGTTTAACTGGTTGTTAAAGAAATCTGGATACATTTACAGAGCATAATATTTTAACATTTTGAGACCTCATTTTATGACTAGAGGTTGGTAAGGAACATTTTTCCAGGAGGATGAGAGTAGTTAGACTTTCATTGGTGCATCAATGAAGGAGTGTTGCGATAAATGACAGGTTAATGAGCCGGCTGAGGTTACTGATCCTACTGAACACTTTTGGATATCCAGGAATTGAGTTTTGTTTTGTGCTGATGGTGTGCCATGTTTGTAAGCAGGCAGGATATTTCCTTCGTGCTCAGAGGACAGGCAGGGGCTGCTACCATTAGCTGTAGCAGGTGGCTTTGGCCGTCCTACTTGAGCCATCTGGCATTCGCTGTTGAGCAAGCACCTTCTGTGCTCTCTGCTTATGGCATATAGCTGATGTCTTGATCATATGGCTCAATCTATAGTTATTTAGACCACTGAGTTTAATGTCCACTTGGTCCCTTGCAGCCTAATTGGTTCTGTGGTTGACCAGGAAACAGCTGAAACTGCTTGTTGTGCTTTGCCTCTTCTGAGTTGACTCCTTTGAATAAGGTAATACTGAACATGCTCCAGCAGTGTCTGGAGCTGACAGCTATTTGGGGTAGGGAGGATCGTTGGGGCTTGTATCTCCGTGGACTTTTCCCACATGCCTGGAAGAGGCTTTCCCTCCTTCCTCAGGTATACAGGAAGTGTTGCTGTCATGCAGAGGCTGCATTAAGCAGAAGTAGGACTGATAGGAAATTGAGGGGGGTTTGCTGATAGTTACACTGAAGATAGGGGTTCTGTTGATGGGTCTGGCTGAGATGACGTTGAGTACAACATCTCTAATTCAGTCCTCCCCTTTTGCATGTGGAGAGAATCCCTACTTCTGTCTATGGGGAGTGTCGGTTTTCTTATTTAGAGGCCTAATACGTTGTTGCATGCTGTTTTTGTCCACCGATTATGAGTCCTCAGCTCCTTCCAGAATCTTCTTGTGAATGTCAGTGTGGAAATGTCAGTCTGTGACTGGGTAAGAGATTGTGCCTCATGGACAGTAACACCTTGCCCGTCTTCTGTTTGATCATTGATATTGGATTCCTGAAGTCAGGAGGAAGATTAGAAGAGCCCAAATGGCACCCTTCCATTAACTCACGGATTGGTCTTCTAGTTTCCAGAGGAACTCCTGGTGAAGGCATTGTGCCCAGCAGCACGAGCCAGAACCCCCTCTTGGCACTATGCAAAGGGGATAAGCTGCTGGCTTGCTACTTTCTGCTGAACTAGGAAATAATACCTGATGAGGGGTGAGGTGATCTGTATTCTGTCCCCTTGCTGCTTTTGCTGGTTGGACTTTGCTGAGCCTGTGATGAATGTCTCCTTTCTGCCGATGAAAGCTTACAGCACATTCCCAGCGAGTGCAGGTTTCCTTTTTCCCTTCCCATGTGCATATGAATACACAACAGCGCTGATCCCTTGGCTATTTTTTCCATCCATCCTTGCTTGCAATCTTGTTTCTGCACACAATGTTTCTTATCCCTTGAGTTGCACCCCAAAGAAGGTTGTGTGTCTGTTACAAGTGTCTTAAGGCTGCTGTCTCCGAGGAGCTTGTAATCATGGTGGACTGAGGCCTTTAGGACTTGTTTTTTTACTTCTTTTTTTTTACCTTTTACTTCTCCTACAGGGATAGCATGTATTGCCCTGTCTTTTGTGGACAGCCATGGAAATCCCATCTCGTTAGCTCGCTGGGTGAGGCCACCCACTTCCCTGCTAAGTACATCATTCCTTCAGGAGGCGGATTTTGAGAGTTTGACTGCTGTCCACCAATACCAGGCTGAGCCTGGCACATCACAGCCAGGTGGGAAGACAGGGCTACTGCCTGCTTTCTGGGCAGGGTGGCGGTTTGTGGGCAAAGTGGGACTGGGCAACTGTGGCTTTCATGGTGTGGTTCTGGGGGACTAGGTGGCCTCTGGTATTCACTTGGGAGTGAGCACAAAGCCTATGCCTTTTCCAAACTGTTCTCTTGATATTGGCTTTACCTCCACAGCCATCTGTCCTCTGTTGCGCCTGGATATCTGGGAAAAGGGCAACATCAGCCTGCTGCAGCTGTCTGAAAGACTGTGCAATGCTGTGCGCCATGCCCTGTGTGATGCTATCATGGAATTCCGTGTCCTTCCCAATCCACTGTGTGTGGAGCCTCCCACTGAGCTAGAGGATCCAGGTAATAGTGGTAAGGGCTTACCTTAGAGCTGGCAGTTTTCCAGCTTTTGAGTTCCCAGTCATGAAAACACTACACAGATGTATGCTGGCCCACTGGTGTTGCTTTGTATAGAGGCAGTGTTGCCTTTTCCAAAGCCCCGGGTTGCTGGGCACAACACAGAGCAGCATTGTTTGTTGGATGACTGATTAAAGCACCTTTCCTAAGCCTAAGTGATGTAGAAATTTGGATTCAATCAAAGGGGATCTTGTTTACTACCAACCAAAATTCCCTCTGGTCCAATATTTTTGAAACTTGAGGGTTGTTTTGAGGAGAGGCACCAGCAGATATGCAGCAAATGTGGTGCCTCTACCTCAAAAAACAGCCCCCCCGAGCCCCAGATACCCCCGGGTCAATTCTCTGTTATAGTCTATGGGGCCCATTGACTATAATGGTCCCCATAGGCTATAATGGAGTTGGGGGGGGTCTTTTCTTTTTGCACACCCCTGTTATGCTTTTCAATATGATTTGTAAGCTGCCTTGAGTCACAGTGAAAAGTGGGATATAAATATTTGAATAAATAAGTAGTTTAAGCAACTTCCTGTTTGTTAGGTTAGGCAGGGTTCTGACAGTGATTGCTCCACCTCTGTTGTACTTGACCTGTAATGCTGGTTGCCATATTTCACTAAAAACACACACACACACACACACCCCAAAGTAGACTGCAAGAGTTTCCCCCCCTCTAAGTGCTGGTATGTTTTCTAAGGCTTAGTGCAGGTCAACAGTCCAAGGCCAGGTCTACCGATATAGTGGACTGGAGTGGGTAGAGCTGTTCTCCAGAGGCCAGGTTTACCAATATAGTGGAAAGGGGTGGGTAGACCTATTCTCCGGAGGCCAGGGAGAAAACTGGGGTACTAATATTTAAAAATATTTATCTAATGGCTGGGCAATATGCTTTCAGGAAACCTGTGCAGGATGATGACAGAGACTAAGGGACTCATCCAATTTGCTGGAGGCAAAGTTTGTCCACACCCTCTGCATTTCACTGTGCCCACTACGGTTGCTGGTGAGCCCATCACACCCACCAGTAAGATGGGCCGGCGCAGCTTCTGGGACATGCTGGTAATGATTCCTTGGGAAGATGGCGGTAGAGTATGTTGTGGGAATTGTAGGGGAGAGCAGAAACTAAGAACTGTGGATAGCACAGCCTACACAACTTGCAACCTGCCCATCCAAACACTTCATCAGCCAGATATTGTGGCCAAGCAGGCACTTGAGTAGCCTTCTGTGCTTGCAGACCCAGGCAGGTGGGAAAACCATGAGGCTTGTGGAAGCCCTGGTGTAGAGCTTGGTGGGTCACAAGTTGTGCAAATCCGGCATAACAGCTAAGGGTGTGACTTCCTATGGGGCAAGAAGTGTTTCATTGTAAATTCACTAAGGAACTTCAGCCACTACCTCTGTCAGTCCCCACCACATAGTTGTACTACAAGGATAACACTGCCCTGCACTGTTATTTTTAAAGATTAGTGCAATAATGTATGTGAAGTGCTTTGAACAGTGGGAGGGCTTCTAGTGTCCTGGTCCCACTGGTGGACCTCCTGATGGCACCTGGTATTTTTGTCCACTGTGTGACACAGAGTGTTGGACCGGATGGGCCATTGGCCTGATCCAGCATTGGCTTCTCTTATGTTCTTATGAATATGCTGTATTAATACTAAATATAATAACAATACTAGTAAACAAAAGTTACATAAGACAGAAATTTGCTGGAGAGGTGAACACTAGGCCCTAAAACCATCGGTGGCAAAGAAATGGGGTTAAGCATGGCTGCCTTGGTCTCTCTTTTCAATACCTGGCCTTGATTTTCAGAGTAAACCAGAGATGGTGGAGCAAGGAAGCCCTAAGACCACAGATGACATTGTGCTGGAGCGGCCGGAAGAGAGTCGTACCCGCCGTCGCCACAAGACTGAGAATGTAAAGCAGCCCTTGAGCCAGGAGCGTGTTGTGGCAGCTGCTGAGCAGGGGCAGGCCCAGAGGCAAGCATCTTGGCTCCCCTTCCCCAACTCTCTTCTCAGGGAAGCTTAGGAAGAGGCACTCCTCTGACACAAAGACCGCCCTTTCTCCATCATCTGGAGGGAACAGCTTCTGTACAAAAAGATCCTGGGCCCCTGCCCCCCCAGTAGGTGATGCACCCCTGCCTGTAGTCAGTGTGGCCAAGAGCAGACTGGATCGGACTGTCGTTGCTGGTTTCTAGGCATCATACGTTTTCATGCATTACAGTGAGGGTTTGCCCTTTGGTCTGATTTTTCCTTTTGGGATCCTCATGTTTTATATCCGTAAGGGTTTGACTTTGAGTAATGGGTGCTCTCTTCACAGACGTCGGACCTGCCAGTTAGAGGAAGGAGATGCAGGAATCCTGCACCCAATTTTCAGTCAGACCTGCCAGTTCTGGATGGCATTCATGAACCGCCTGGGTATGTACTAAACCTGTGTCCTATATTTTCGCTGTCATAGTTTGTCCCAGCATAGCTTTTTCTGAATTTGTGCAGCTGGAAAGAAAAGCTGACCAGTCCTGGAGTGGTGTTAAAGGCTCAGAAGCCAGAAATGTGACTACATAGGTGTGCCTCCCCCCCCCATTGGTCTGTTTTCCTGGCTCTCTCCACCCATGCTGTCAGATTGAGGCCATGCCACCGCTACCCCTGTTCTTGTCAAATGTTTAAATACTGTGCTAGCTTGGATAATAGTAATAATAATTGTTGTTGTTATTAATAACATTTTATAACCTGCCTTCCTGCTCTTTATACCAAGGTGGCTAACAATTTAAAACACACATGATAAAATAACATTTTAAACCATTAAAATCACCCAAGTGCCCATCATTAGAACAATCAAAAATAGAGTTAAAATACACAGAAGACATAAAAACAGCAATTAAAACGCTGGTTAGGAAGGAGGGGTCATTGAAAGAATGCCAAATGAAACAAAAGAGTCTCCACCTGCTGGCGGAAGATGGCAACAGAAGGGGACAAACAAATCCCCCAGGGGGGAGTGTTCCAGAGCTTTGGTGCCATGACCAAGAAGGGCCTCTCCCAGGTTGCCCCCCCCGGTCTAATCTCAAAAGGCAGGGGCACCCAAAGCAAGCCCTCTGAAGACGACTGCAGTGTTTAGGCAGGCTCATAAGGTATATTGGTCCCAAAACATATAGGGCTCTGATTGTAAAGACTGGCACCTTGAAATGTGCCTAGAAACAAAGTGGGAGCAAGTGTAGGTGGGCCAAGACTGGAGTGACGTGGCCTCTACAATGCACTCCAGTCAGCATCCTGGCTGCAACATCAGCAACTTAGATGTTGGGCTGTCTCTGACCACAGCATTTGGGGCCCAAAGAAAAAGAGGCAGAGGGTGTGTGGGAGGGAACATATAATAGGTATGTTGCTGCTTATCATTATGAGCGCCTGGTCTTTTTCCACCATACGTGTAGGAACATGGCTGTGCTTTGTGCAGGCTATTCTCATCTATGGTCTCCCTCTCTTTTTGTTCACAGTTCTATATATGATATTTTGACTTGGTACTGATCTTAGAATCCCTTTAAATGGCTAAGTATTGTTGATCATTCCACAGCGTGTCTTCCCCTTGCCTCTTGTAAGTTTTCTGGGCCTTTGCTTAAACCTCCCCCTCGTGGCATTTCCTTTCCCTCGCAGGGTGTCCCTCTGTACAGCAGTGTGCCTTGGAGAGTGTCTCTCGCTTCCTCCTCCCGTCCATCCTGCTGGAAGTGGTGAGCCTCGTCACCACACTGGCAAATGACACCTCTGTCAAAGTGTTTGAAAGAGTCAGGTAGGTGCTGGGGCAAGACTGCCCTGATGCTTGGCTGGACTCTACCCAGAATGCCACTGGGGTGCTTTTCTTAGAGGCTGAGGACAATACACTGGGGTGGATATTACTGTTCCTCCATGAAGCTCCTTGTCTTTTTTCTCTGTAGCTGTCCCCAAGGGATCTCCTTTCTGCCATATTCCCTGCCAGGCACCAATACCCGACCAGCTGTCATTCGACACTTCACCTTGCTGGGGCGTAGTTTCCACCAGTGGCGTCACAGCACAGAACAAGGTGAAAGACAGAGTGTGGGCAGCCAAAAAGTGAAAGTATGCTCTTTACTGCCTCTGGATCAAGGCAGGAACTTCACAAATAAACTCTGCTTTCTTGCCTCCTCTGTATTCAGCCCTAAAGGGATTCCAGCGGTTTGAGGCTACCGAACTTGGCACTACAGAGAAGGGTGTTGATGTGGTCCCTCGGCAAAGATTCCTTTTCATGGAGATCGTTGACAAAAAGGTGCATGCCAGGCTGGGTCAGTGCCTGGCCCGTACAAATCCCTGGGCCCAGGTAGAGCTTTGGAGCCATTTTGGTCTGAGCCAGCAGTGCAAGTCTGGGTTTACCTGTCCCCCTTTCCCTTCCAGATGGTTCTTTACACTTACAATTGGTCTGTGGACCTGGGCAGTGCTCTGAGCAGCTCCCTCACTCGCTTGTTGCAGTGGCAGAATGCTCGTGCCCATGTTGTGCACTGCCTGCTTAGCCAGAAGCTTGGCCTTTTCCATCACTACTGCTACATGGACACACCATGGCATGAGGACAGCAAGCAGGTACCCCTGGCTCTCAGCCTTCCTGTGCTGAACTGCCACTTGACCATCTTTCCTCAGTTGGTTCGCACTGACTCTCTCTCTCTCTTCTCCCCTCCTCGTGCCTAGGAACAAAATCCCTTTTTGAACTCCACCCTGGATGTGGATGCCCTGATCCGCAGTTCCAGCGTTCCCCCGAGCAAAGAGCAGGGTCGGCTCAGCAGCTCTGCACGTATCTTGCCGCCTCTGCATTTCCCTCCTTATATGGTGCCCTTTGATGAGGCCCTTCGTGATGTCTCAGCCAATCGACCTGTCCATCACAGCCCGGAGCTGAGTGTCCTCGACCGTGTGGCCCAGCATGGAGCTCAGTTCCTGGAGATCAAGAGCATAGAGAGGAAAGGTAAATGGAAAGATGGGGGTACGGGAGTGGCTCCTGTGCACCTGTATTTCTTTAGCTGGGTCAGGGGGTGGGGCTCCTAAAGGGGATGTCCTGAGAATCTCCATGAACAAGACAACTAAAAACAAGGAATCAGTGCTAGCCACGAGAAGACAATATGGGTGGAAGGAAGCGCTTAGAACAGGTACAGCATTGGTTCCCTCTCTTGGAGGTTTTCTGAAGGCATCCAGTATCTAGGCCATTTGCAGTACAGGGGAGGCTTGAGTTTTCAGCAGGGAAAGTTCACCAGACTTTGGTTCCAGTCCTGCTCTCCTCAGCGCCTGCTCCTCTTCCACAGAGCTGGAGAAACAGATGAAGATTGAGAATCTCTTTGTGACGTGGCAGCAGCGGTCCGCACAGTCCAACATGCCCATCAGTGTGAGTTCAGAGAGGCTTGGGAAATGGGCACTGCTTCAGGACAGGAGGGCTTGATACAGCTTCTCTAAGATGGGGATGGCCTTGTTCTTGGGGTCAAGTGAGAGGGAAGGGCACAGGGAAAAGTTTCTTCCATATGGAAAAGGACTTCTTCAGTGGAGAGCTATGAGACCCCGAAGATCAGTGGGTTCTTAGGACCTAGTCACCTGGAAGCCAGTTGCATCCCTGCTGCTTTCACACCCATTGACAAAGCACAGTGTCAGTGTAAATGCAGTTTGTGTAATATGAATTAGTCTGTGAGCCTGAGGACTACTTCACCCAAGTTAATAACTTCCACAAATCCCTCCCAGTGATCCCAGAGACAAGTATCATGTGAAGATGAGTGTTTGTTTATTCATTTGGACATTTCTCTCTCCAAAGAGACCCAAAGCAGTTTACTGAAATATCTGAAATATAAGACAACCAATTTAAACAATATGGTTTAAATAAAACAAAACCAGCACATCCTGGGCAGGTTCAGATTCACTGGGCTGGCTAACACAGGCCCCAAGCTGCG